TTTTGTTTGTCCATCTTCTTTAAAATAGTAGGGGCATCTAATATACAGTCTGTAAATATCGGAACATCTATCTATGTTATTAATACTAAAACAGGAAGTCCTTCTTAACGTAAAATACTGCCCTAATAATCTAATATTAAATATAATTGCACGCCGCCCCGTTGAAGTTGCGAGAGTGTTACGTCATTGTAAAATATGAAAGAGCGAATGACACTTAATTAGATTATGTATGTTGTTACTTTGTGTTGGTTCCGACTGTCACATACACTTCTCGAGTTTTGTTGAGATTTTTAAAATTTTTACCAGGGTCGGAAACTCTCTGAGCTGGGAACCCTGTGAAGGGCACATTGTTTAATCTTCCGCGTCTGTCCGTACTTTTTACTACTTAAGAGTTAAATCATCCAACGAATAAAAGAAACTAAATAAAAATTCGAAAAGTTTTCTAAAGAGCAATTAGATAATGTTGATACTGTGCGCTAGCCATGTTATACACTCATTGCTAATAACAATAGTGGCGCCATCTATGTTTATACTAAAATGTTTTTGTTTGTTTTTTAAACGCAAAGCAACACAGTTGACTATCTGTGCTATGTACACTACAGGGAACTAAACCCCAGATTTTAGCATTTTAAGTCTCGCTAGAGAAAAATTTGTATATTTTAAATATGTTTTAACAAAATGATATAAAAACATGAGTTTGAAAAAAACAGATTTCATTAACTGGCAATGTTAGTCTTAGAAGTTATAATTTGTTTAACTAAAACGTTTGAAATTACAAAAAAAACAAAACAATAACTGACTGCAAATGACACTAACGTTTTAAAGCTCTAAAAGGTATAATTAAATTTCTTATCACTAGACAAACAACAAATATTTAAAGCTTACGAATACAAGATATTCCATTAATATGGTAACGCTGGCTCTCATATACACGTTATTTGCGTCTCTGAGAATGTAATAAACGTCAAGGAAAAACACGAATAAATTTATTAATGTGTTTATATTTCGAACTGAACCATTTATTTTTCTGTGGAAGCTTTAGTTGTTTTACCTGTGAAATGTTTGTCTGGTGCGTCAGTAAATAAGAAGTTTAGCTGCTTGCTCTGAACGACAAGAACAAAAAAAAAAAAAGAAACATAAAGAGAATCTATAATCCTCATAAAGAGAGAAAACGTACATAAGCCGCTTAAATTATCATAATCTGCTTACTAGAATACTTGACTTTTCTGAATAATCGACTGGCCTTTTATCCTAGTATAAATCTTTATATATAAACGTACCAGAATGTTGGAGTCATTTCATCATAGTTCTTAAATATGCGTCATTTTAACATGCGCTATTTAAATTAGACTATGTTGGACTAAAATATAAAGAAGGACAGCTAAGCTTTAATTGAGTGATTTGTATAATCTGACGCTGTAGCGTGTACCTTAAGATGCAAACTGTGGCTCCACAGTCAACAGGTTTATCAGCTATTTATTTGTTTCATGACGTTTTCAAAAGTACTTGAGAAACATTGCCGCCAGGGTACACTTGTACCATGTGTGAATATGTGTGAAAAGCCTTTTCGAAGAGAAATATTCACTCTACGACTGTTAGCCGATGTATAGTTAAAAGACGATATTTCTGAGCAGGAACTCTTCATTGTTCTCTATAGAAATGGGAAAACTCACGCAGCAGAGCGTTTAGGGCAGCGATGGGCTTAGGAGACAGGTCTCAGTCAAATTCAGAACAACAAACACATCTGCAAACTGATGGCTATGGTTACAAAATATCAACATTAGACCCCGAAAAACTAGAAAAAAAAATTTGTTGATTTCTTAATTTAGAGTATCTGTTGATTAAATAGGTTTTATTTATTAAAAACGTTGGTGATATAACAGAAAATAGCTTAATTCAGAAACGATTTAAGTTTAAAATTGAATCGATATGTTTACTTTCATGATAAATTTTATGCACTTGGCTCTAGACTAGGTGATCTCACACTGTCTTTAATTTAGGCTTATTTATTAATTTCTTTAAATCATACCAACATTCACTACACTTACAAGGTTTCACGACCCCCTTGCACCTCCGTCACAAAATCATAATGGGCAGACAGTAATCGAACTAATCTATCAGGCATACAGAATATATTAACCTAATAACCCGAAAAGCTATTGCAATGTAGCTGGGCATATCTGCTGGTGCACTGATAAAATACTAAACAAATATTTGATGTTGGGGAAGGTTCAAAAGCTCCATCAATACCTCAAAATTAACACCCAGACGACAAAATTACAGAAAATGGAATCACAGCAATCCTCTTAAGCAATCCCACAATGAAGCTCAAACGAAGTTTTGTCCTTTTAGTCTACTTCAAAGTACTCTTAGAATCCATGTGTTAAGTACACTAGAAGATCTCCGGAAAGACATTCAAGGCAGGTGGTCTAAGATTAAATTCACTGTATTTCGTAGAAGCTTGTTACAATAAACATTCAACAATAGAGCGTAACTATGGTTACCAGACTGAGTACGACTGATGATGGAAGAAGTTCCTAGGACGAATTCAAATTTGAAGAATGGGTAGTGGAAGAAAGAACGGTTACCTTGATGGCTTCTTGAATGGGTAGTGGAAGAAAGAACGGTTACCTTGATGACTTCTTGAATGGGTAGTGGAAGAAAGAACGGTTGCCAGACTCACGAAATTATATTTTAAGATTTCGCCTCTAAAAAAACAAACACGATGAGAAGTGGTAATTTATTGTTACCTTTATGATATTAGAAGATAATCCCGGATGATATTCAACTCATGTATGATATGATATGTAACAAGAACAAAAAAAAGTCATAAGGACGAAGACATTTCGTAAGTTAATGTTAATTAAATTTGTCATCGTATCATACTCCCATCATTTTGCTTCATTAGCTTACGAACCCTTCAACAAATGGGGTAGACATAATGGTACGGGGGGGGGG